ATATTCGTTGCGCGAATATTTCCATGTTCCATTGAATCCCGTTGAACTGCTTTCGAGATTCGAAAACATTTCATTTCAAATAGATTATTAATATATATTGGGAAGGGGTGTGAGGGAGAGGAAATGGCATCGTTTGTTGGTATCCTTGATAATTATTTTCCACGCTCGCTCGCGCCGATAAATTCTATTGTTCAATACATCCTTGTCAAATATATATTCCGTTCTAATATTTTGCTTAAATTATTAGCGAAGCGCAACATGGAATAATTATTTTTTTTTTTTTTTTCCTTGAAACTTGCACTTCCTTCGTTTCCGCTCCATGAATTTAATCCCCGCGATATCTCTTCATTACATAAAATTGTAAAATATATATTCCCAAATATATTAAAGACCGATGTAATCTACGTTTGCGCCATTTATCCCATTATTACTTTGTAAAGGATTGAATGGCGCGTCGATATCTTCCGCACGATATCGCGGCAAATTTAATGAATTTTTTGACGAATGTCGGCGGGAACGATGGTGAAAAAAAGGAGGGGGAGGGGGAAGGACGAGTAGCGTGGGTTCGATATCGATGCGACGCGAACAAAGGAACATTGAATCGAACCGATTTCGTTGCTGTATGTCGTTCATTTTCAAAAAAGAAAGTACATCGTCGTGATCGTTGGAGAGATGGAAGAAAGAGGATAATTAACAATTGTATAAATATCACTGTCTGTTCGATGGCGATGTTCGACATACAACCGTTTTTTAGTGTAAATAATCATACTCATCGTTAAAGAATTACGAATTAAACCATCCACTCTATGGGATTGTATCATAGAAAGGGGGAAAGAAATCTGTTCACAAATCTGTTTAAATATTTCGATGCTGTAAGATAAACGTGTCCATGCGTGCGAGCGTCGTAGATGTTTCATCGAATGTAGATAGGATAAGCGATTTTATATTTTTGTTTTGTGTACAGTTGATCGTAAGAAAGAAAAAAAATATCCGAATTTGAATTTATGTATTATATTTTTTATTCGAATTTCAAAGAATATCAGTTCAAAGATTATACCACATTATCTCGGAATAAAGTCGTGTTTGGATTAAGAATAAGACTTATAAGACTTTTTAATTTGGCAAAAAGACACAGGGAATGTTTAACGTAACTGGACATTTTTCGATCAACTATAACGTATACCCTCGTTCGTGAGATTTCGAATTTCACAGTATCTCGTTATCGCACAATTTCATCGCTCTATCCACATCTAATAATTCCGTATATTCATTAATTCCGTGCTCGATATTAATCCTTTGAAATCCGTACGTTAATTAAAAATCATTATCACGTATAAATAATACCTAGTAGTAATACCTACTGCAAGTGAAATACACGTATTGAAACTATTCAATTAAAAATTAGAACACGATTCGCGCAAAATATTTTCAACGCGTTTTTTGACAATACTTTACGATCGACGTGAGACCTAACGTTCAAATAATTCTTCCGAAAAAAAAAAAAAAGAAAGAAAGAAAAGAAAAAATAATTGAAAATCGGAAAATTTAAATTTTCTCCTTCCTTCGAGAGTCGAGTCATTCACATTTCATTCGATGGATTTCGTGACGCAACAATGCTCCTTTCTTAAGCGTCCAACGATTCGAGGGATTAAGCTGGTTAACGGAGTTAATGGAAAGCCTGGTACATCGGCGTTCATGAACGCAACGGACTGAGCAGTATTAATTTCCGTCTTCCGTCTCTCGTCTAAGGCGTAAACACGCGCGAATATCGTACATGCACAGATGCCAGACCAGCCACTCCAAAATCATCAATTTCCTGATGCAGATAGATCGGTGAAACGAGATTAGCGACGAGATTCGAACGTTCGATAGATATACCTTCCACGCGATTGTGCACGATTTCTGAAACGCTATGTACAAATCCTAGATTTTTCTTTTTTCTTTTTATTTCTCTCTCGATCTTTTTTCTCTTTTTCTCTTTCTTTCTTTCTTTCTTTTCTTCTTTTTTTTCTACGCGTGTGTGTAACGTCGACCGTGTGTACACCGGAATGGAATCGTTTTTTAAAATTATATACGTACAAAAGGTTGCGAAAGAGATCCGCATGAAACCGACACATTCATCACTCGCATACGCACGAATGAATCTCGCGTATAATATACATACGTATTTGTAAATATTGTCTGTATCGCGTACTACACATTGCGTTCACAACGTAACGAGTTTGTTAAGAGCTAATTGATTATATACTTCTTACATAAAAGTGTACTACGAGCATCATATTAAACGTGAATAAAATCATCGTCTGTAAATTCTCAGTGGACGAGTTTCGTTTATTATCTGGAAATAATAGCGTGGATGTCAATTGGAACGTAGATATATTTAAAATATCGTAAATTGGAAGTTAAGAGAATAAACTTTATAAACGATGAAAAATATTTAATTCAATGGGAATTTTAATTTATAGAATAAAATAACCTAAACCAATCATTCGTATCCTATGAAATATCCATTGAAATTTATTTCAACATTCCTTATTACTTTTTTTACGTAGCATTGTAAATCGTGTAAAAATTCGAAACATTTCAATCACTCGAAAATTCCAAATTTCACGGTATCATCGATAATTAATTCATCGAAATTTTTATTCGTTTAAAAATATCGCCGATCGAATACTTAAAATTTCATCCGTTGCTTATTTTGTTCCTCGTATTCCATCGCAGTCAAAAAATTTGCTTCGTGTGATATATATTTATATATCACACGCGCCTTAATCCGAAAAATTCCAAATTTTATAACATCATCGATAATTTTAGTTTATTCGTAAAATTTCAATCGATCCGAAATTCCATCGAAATTATTTTTTTTTTTTTTTTTGTAAACACGCATTTCGTCATATCCACTCAGAAAATTATTAAAATTTAAATTATTATTATTCACGCATTTCCTTTATACAGTGATCCAAAAAAAAAGTTCGAAAATTTTGAAACTTTTGGAACCATCACCAAATACAAAATCATACAAACTTTACGCATCGATCTGATTAAAATCTGTTAAAATTTTCTTAAAAATTGCAGTCAGATATTATATCGACGTTTCCACTTTCGGTATTTTTCGACAGTTGTCCATGATCGATCGATCCAGGTGTAACGTTCATCCGGTCCCAGTCAGAAAATTATTCCACGCGTAATATACTTAAACCCCGCGTCATAATCCCCTCGTTGATTACGACAGAGAAGTTCTACGTTAACCACGGCCACGTAATTGGTCCCCGGGAAGTTCTACTTTTACATCAATTGCCCCAGCCTTCACTCTTCGTTCCCTTGATTAGTGAACTAAATCCCAAACCGCTAACGTAACTCATTCACTAATGTATCCAACTTCCACGACTCTTACCTTCTCTCTTTGTCCCCGCTACAGAACACTAATGTACCTATTTAATTTACTTCGTTCGAAGTCTCCGCCCGTTTCTCTTTCCCCTTTTCCCTCGCCTCTTCTTTCTCATCGGTCGATCTATACGTATCTCGATCTTTTGTTCGTTAAATCGCTCTCTCCGTTCTTCCTTCCAAACTAAGTTTTTAAACGTTGCATACATTTACGCTTATTTAGGGGATGAATTAATTGGTTCGAAAATTAGAATTAAAGGAAAGTGTATTAAGGGAAATTGGAAAAATGGAGAATAAAAAGGCGAATAAGTCGTTTGTAAATTTTTGTGAGAAAAATAAAATGATAAGGTGGAATGATTAATTGTTTAAACGTTTGAACGAGGTATTCAATTTTAAAATGGAGATCTTTATTTCTCCTCGAATGATAAATTCACGTTTCTAGAGATTAGTGCAGAATTTCTTCCGGGTTTAAAATTTCTTTTTGCTTTGTTCCATTAATTTCTTGGAGAAACGAGATTTTTTTTATGGAAACAAACTGATAATATCGACAGTAACTTGAATAATAGATGGATCTTTACGTCGAAAATCAATATCGTCGTAATTCTCAAGATACGTTTTATGTTCTATGTTTTCATATAAAATATATTTTAGATTTGTGAACTGAAAGTATGGATGCACGTGTTCAAATCATCATCCTTTTGATACCGAGATATCAAAAAAAAAAAAAGAAACTTTGAATCATGCTTGAGAAAAGGTGTTATAAAATCCGAATCGTGTCTAAAAGAAGCACATTTCTTGAAGAAGCTGTACGCTTTATCAAAAATAAGAGTCATTTGCTGCGATTTTATATTATGATGTTCACGTCATGTATTAATTTTTTACGAGGAACTACGTTTCACGGTAGCCACATTGTCGACAACAACACTGTGCCTAGGGATTTCTTTAACTTTGTTCCCTTAATGGTCTGTTTCTGCTGGAAAAACAAAGCTAACGTAATTTCAACGGTTTATGAAAGCAATTTCCAATGATTTGGCATGAAACGTTTCGAAAACAAAAAATTGTTTAAAATTATCGTCGCACAGAACTGAAGAGAAGAGGAACGATAAAAATGCTAATGCGATTTCAGTGTTGTAAAAAAAATACTAACTTTGTGTAAGCGTATCAAAGAATTAAAAAAAAAAAGAAGAGAGAGAGAATAAGAAACAAATTTTTCCAATAACTTTTTTTAAAAAATTCTCTATGAAGAAAAAATGAATAAAAGAATTAAAAAATCCTAATGTAAAAAAATGTTATTTAAAAACCCTTTCTTTCTATCCACTTTCTAAATAAATTTACTCGAAATAAAATCCAGACGACGCGTTCCATATATTCTCATCGCTACAAGCACGCGTCCAAGCAAATCCATAAAAATTCCCGCACTAAACGCGACTAAATCGTAGCACAAACTTTAGGAACGGAAGCTGTATCCGTTTCCACACTTCACACGATGCAAACGTTCCACTTCCGGAAATAATATCGTGCACCTCGTCCCTCTCTTAATCAGCGTTGAAAAAAAAGAAGAAGAAAAAAAAAAAGAAAAGAAAAAAAAAAAGAAACCAATAAATTTTTATTGATAAAAATAACAACAGCTCTGAACACGTATGTTTGGTCGAAAAAGTAGCGGCGTTGCGTCTAACAATAAGTTAAGTTTCGAGGGTCTGGATGACCGCCATGTTACGATATACAAATGAAATCCAAGTAGTTTGGAAGGGAGGCCGCGTGTGCGCAGTGAAAAGGCTGTTCGAGAAGCGGCGTTCGGAATTAGAGTGCATGCCGCGAGGTTCGTTCTGAAAAGCTCGTATATCAAACTTCTGTTCCAGGTAACCAAACCGTGTGTAATCGTAATTTCGAGGTAAGTCTCCCTTTCACGCTTGTCGCATGACCATTCTGTCCTTCCGGTTTAACTCCCGACCGCCATCGCTCTAACTAATCGTTCGACCATGAAACGAACCTTTCGTTCGTGCTACGTTTACGGCTTCCTCCTCATTGCGTGTCTTCGATCTTCGACGATTCGCGTCTCGCGATTATTAATTCTGCAATTTTCTCTTTTCTTTTCTTTTCTTTTCTTTTTTCTTTCCTTTTCTCTGTTTCAACTCTTCGTGATTTAGAATCGCGAGATAATTATTTTTGCGATAATATCACGTACGAACGCGTAATTCAACGACGATCGTTCGTTTCGACGATATTTAACAATGTTTAGAGACGTTCAACGATGCCACTCCACGAAGATTTATTTCCACCATTATGTCTCTTGTTATTATTACCGTTATTTATTGCATACTATTATTTTCGTTAGATATGAATAGGGAAAGGAAAATAATATTGGCAGAGGTACAAAAATGTAAGCTCGCGGAAAAATCGAAGTTCCTCGAAGAGGAAGAAGAAGAAGAAGAAGAAGAGGTCAATTGTAGAAACGTCCTGTCTTTTAATAGCGATGAAGGAATTTTTAGCGAAGTGGAGTGGTGGCACGTGGTGGAAAACGAGGCACTTCGTGGAAACGGTCGTGATGTCGTATAGCATGACACGAAACAAACGGGTGGCAGCCGATCCCACGAAAACACTGGCCGATTGCAATTCGATGGAAATTGTGTCACAGTGCTTAAGCGACAAGCACCGGTGACGGCGACGCTTCGCGTCTAAATATAACAGGCGTCGTAACGCGCACTCGAAGATTTTCGTGTGTTTTTCGAGCGATTACGGCCGCCTGGATGTGGCGCGTTGACACGATGGCATCGCGACTTAACGAATTAAAATTTAAAATTGAACTCGATGGAACGGATGGAATGAATAATCTTTCCAACGCAATCGAAATTATTTGATTTTATTAACGAACAAAACAATTTTCTAATATTTCGAACCTTAGTCGAGTTTCAAACCTTATTCGATCAACCTTGTTCGAATCGTATTTGGAAATGATGTATTTATAGAAGGTTGAAATATTCTTCGAGTCACTTTCAGAGATTTTCACTCACTATTTCTCTCTCTCTCTGTCGAACACTTAATAAATTTGATCTAGTCTGTCAATATTCGAGCGTGTTCGCGATATACTCGATCCCGTCACTAGTCGACGCGTTGACGGATTATTGGTGAGCGTTCACGCGCATCGATACGCGCGAAATGACCGCGAGAATGGCTCGTGGGATGAATGAATGAATGAAAAAGGACGCAGACGAACAAGCGTAGCGTGCATTTGGCAAGGGGACAATCGTGCGACGCTCGAAAATCGCATGTCGACGCTTGTGTTCGCGCCGCGATGAGAAAATACGCAGCGGAAAAATTATCCCGCTAAAATTATCCCCTTAAGATGGCCGATCGACTGAGTCGCGTGCTCCAATTTTTCTCGATAATTGGAATAAAATTCAGGCTTAGGAAAAAAAAAATAAAATTACCTTTTGTAAATTATGAAAAATTATGATTTGGATGTTTCATTTTTCGGAAAGAATATAATTCAATCGTGGATTTCTCGTTGCGGAATTCTCTCGTTGTGGAAAATCGAACGATCCATCCCGTTTTCGAATCCTCTCCGAATTCTTCGAGACTTTCGAGCTTTTCCTCTCAAACGGCCTCATAATCATTTCCACAACGTATTCGAAATGAAAATTCGCGAGGATGAGAAAATCAATCTCGAGGGAGGGTCTGTCAGATTGCGAGAGACGTCCCCTTTGGCAGCTTCGAATAAATAGGGCTGAATATCGAAGGATTGATTTTAGACGGTTCTAAATATTTACGCGGCGTCGAGAATTCGAGCGGTGTATATGCTTTCCGGCTGGTTTACACAACGTCGCGTGGTTAAGTGCTCGTTCGAATCCCGGCGGTCTGCTCGAGCCATGAATCGCGTGTACACACGAATCTCATTGCAAATAAATTCGCGTCAGCCCGCCTCGTCCGCCTGTCTTTGAAGCTAATCGCGGTTTCATGGGGTCAGCTTTTGCCCAGACAGATTCGGTTAATCCCTGTTGTTTCGTCGGGGATGTTTATCGTTTAAACTATCGCCCAGAAATCGTCGAGAACGTTAATAAAATAACATCGCGTGCTTTTTCTAAACACTTTTTATTACACGATTATCCTCGGTTACTCGAACTCGAGGGTAATAAACTACGTTTATTGAAACGAAGCTTCAAACGATTATTTCTAATCCAATTAATCAAATTAATCGATCGAGTCCAATCACCTCAACTACTGATATTTAAATTATAATAACCGAGATAGAGAGAATCGATAAATTATTATTATAATCGAACTGTTTGTTATCGATTGTTATCAGAGAAATAGAATTTTGAATACGAATGACAAAATTATTCGTGTTAATAATTTTCGCGCGCCGCCCAATTTCGTGAATTTGTGAACTTGGCAAAGAATTATTACACGCGAATATTAATCACGCACGTGTTAAACATTCTTCGCAAGATGCTCGATAGAAAAAGAAACTCGCCAATATCGCCTTTCTTAATTTAATTTTCATCATTTCGTCCTAGATAATGACTATAAGATGCTGGTCAAATATCTTCCATTGATCTTCCTCCCCTGCGTTCTGGGATTCCCTAGGAAAGTCCACATAGGTGAGAGATAAAAAAAAAAAAAGAAAAAGAAACTATATAAATTTTGTGGAACATCCAGTTGGACGCGCAAAGTGTTTCTAACTATCGAATCCGTGTCTCATCGTTAAACTTTAATTTCGTATTAATGTCCCCGGTTGTCAAAGTTGTATATTCTCTTGTATTCGTCGCCATCGTTTCCAGCTCGCGTTCCGCAAATATTAATAGAATAGAACCGTCTTCGAATGTCGTACGCGACACGTGTTCACTGTAATTTCTTTTAGGAGGGTTATTCGACGATGACGCCGGAATTCGACGTACCTTCGAAACTTCCATAAAGGCGGTGAACAAAGATCGACACGTGAACGAGGAATTTTTAAACGTGTTCCTCATAGCAGAATCGAACGAGGTTGGGACAGATCCGTTCGAGGTGTCGCAGAAAGGTATTTTTTTTTTTTTTTAATCACCATTTCGAAACATATCGTTCTATATTATTCGTTTTTGATTTTTAATTTGAAAAAAAAATATTCAGTATGCGAATTGATGGGCACGGGGGTGGCCGCCATTTTCGGTCCGTTAAATAGGTTCACCTCGGAACATGTGCAGAGTATATGCGACACCAAGGAAATACCGCATATTTATGGTAGATGGGAACCTTCTCAACCTCGTGGCAAAGGGATAAATTTATTCCCACATGCTGACACACTCGCCATGGTACGTGAAATACGAGAAGTGATTTTGCCTCTCTCTCCGTTTTGAAAAATTATGTCCATTTCCTCCTCGATCGTTTCGATCGATCGTGTTTATGGATTTAAATAAATTCCGATTCCGCCGCTCTCCGTCAATAAAATAATTCACGCTCTTTCGAGAATTTCGAAATACGCGAAATAACGTGAAAGGCTGTTCGCTTCGTTCACTAACGTAGGTGTGTTTGACATGGCTGCCAGATATTCGATCAAATCATAATCGATTTCGAGTGGAAGATTTTCGCGATACTGTACGAGGGAACGGATAGTTTGATCCGTAGTCATCGATTGTTGGAGATTAAGGATCCAAAGAGACACGGGGCATTTCTGTACCATTTGGGGCCCGGACCAAACTACAGGTGCATTATTATTCGTAACGAACTCGATAACTCGAATCTTCCTATTGAAAAAAGTGAGTAAAATTTTTCAGGAAAGTGATGAAGGAGATAAAAGACGCCGAGTTCGAGAATATAATTATCGATTGTTCGATCGACATATTGGAAGAAGTGTTGAAACAGGCGCAGCAAGTCGGCATTATGTCCGAGAAGAACAAAATTATAGTCACTTCCCTGGTAATAACAAACCAATTTCTTTCGGTCTCTTTCGTTCGAGATACGAGAAATTTTCTTGAAATTTTACCCAATTTCCCGATTTCAGGATCTCCAAACGATCGATCTAGAACCGTACCAATATTCCGGGGTGAATTTCACGGGGGTGCGTTTAATCGATCCCGACTCTCTCAACGTGTCGAGTATCGTGAAGATGCACGAAGCGGAATGGGGTTTGGACAATCCCCGTCAATTAAGGGTCGAACACGCGCTTATGTACGACGCCGTGCAACTTTTCGCCAGGGCTTTTAAACAGTTGAAGGACAGCATCGAGGGTGACGTGAAGAGATTGCCCTGTAACGACACCATTAACTGGGAGCACGGTTACAGTCTGAGTAATTTTATGAGAGTGGTAAGTTGAATAATATATATATATATTCAATCGAATTCAATTCTACGATGAGAGAAGTGAATTGATATTCAATTTTTATGAATATATTTCAGACTGAGATGGAAGGTTTGACGGGTTTGATCAAATTCGACACGGCTGGCTTTCGCACCAATTTCCAATTGGACGTCATAAGGGTGACGGAGAACGGTGTGAAGAAGATCGGGATATGGAAGAGCACGAATGCTTCTAAATGGAGCGTGGAATGGCTATTGGAATCTCAACCTCCGAAATACGACACCGAGTTGAGCTTGCAGAATAAAACTTTTATCATTCTAATTGCGATCGTAAGAGAGAAGGACGAAGAAAAGGATTTAAAAAAAGAAATCTCTGTCCCTGATATCTGATACGCGATGCTTTCATCTTTACAGAATCATCCCTATGGAATGTTGAAGAAGTCGGCCGACATGATGACTGGGAATGATCGCTACGAGGGATTCGGCATCGACGTTATTCAAGAGCTGAGCAAAATGTTGGGTTTCAATTACACGTTCGAGGTGCAGGCGGACAATGTGTACGGGTCATATTCTAAGAAGACGAAGAAATGGACGGGGATGCTCGGGAAAATAATAGCCGGTGTTGGTATTTGAAAGAAATAAGAATTAAAATTGGATCATTTTGAAAGATTGAAATTTTGTTGCAGGAGGCTGATCTGGCGATTACGGATCTAACCATAACGTCCGAGAGAGAAGGGGCTGTGGACTTCACCATGCCTTTCATGAATTTAGGTGAAGTGGATCAGAGATCTATTCTTTCGATTCGTTTAAATTCGTTACGAATAATAGACGAATCCTTCTTTCTCACAGGAATAAGCATTTTATACAGAAAACCGACGAAAACACCGCCAAGTTTGTTCTCCTTCCTTTCCCCATTTTCGGCCGGAGTTTGGTGGTACTTGATCGGAGCTTATATATTTGTATCCGTGGTGCTATTCATTATCGGCAGGATATGCCCGGCTGAGTGGAACAATCCGTATCCTTGCATCGAAGAGCCCGAGGTGCTCGAGAATCAATTCACATTTAAGAATTCTCTTTGGTTCACCATCGGTAGTATTATGCAGCAAGGTTCCGAGATTGCGCCCATGTGAGTTTCTTTTTTCTTTCTTTGCTTCCAAAATTTCCGTACACGCGATTCACAATATTAAAACTTGTAATTCTAATATCCAAGAGGATTGTCGACAAGAATGATGGCCGCTTCCTGGTGGTTCTTCTGCCTCATCATGGTCTCATCCTACACTGCCAACTTGGCCGCTTTCTTGACAGTGGAAACGGTGGTGTCACCATTTTCGAACGTGGAAGAATTAGCCAAAAAGAAGACTATTAAATACGGCGCCAAAATAGGAGGATCTACGTTCATGTTCTTCAAAGTGAGTGTGTATTTATTGCAAGCTTCTTTACCAAATATATCGAGTTACGAAATATGGTGTATAGAACAGTAAAAAAAAAAAAAAAAATTAATGAAACGGTTGTCAGTAGCAATTTTACAGGATGATTACAGCCTCCCAATTGTTTCAAAAATGTAAGAGACGTTTGAGTAGTACGTTTTGTTTACCAAGTTTGTATTATGTATTAACTGTCTTTGATAAAGTGTTACAATTAACGAGTCTTTCGAGAGATTCCTATTTCGTGAACATTTAACAACAATTAAATATTTTTGAATATCTCTCGAACAAAGTTTTTGGAAAGATCTGAATTTTTTTTTGAATTCCAACATTTTAGAACCATAGATCATAGAACCTTCGCTGTTAATCACTTTTAATACAATGCTTGAGCGAATGCAATCGATCGTATGGAAATTAGCCCGATGTTAGTTTACATTTACATCTCCATCGATATTAAAAAATCACCAATAATGCAATAATAATTGCAAAAATTAATACAAATGTTGCAAACTCGAATAACTAGAAACTAGAATTCAATTACATTTTAACATCCTTCGTCAATTTACATTAGATTAGATACCCCTATAGATAAATTATCGAAAAACGTTCCCCCCCCACCCCCCCCGCTTACTAACCGATCAGAGAGAGAATAGGCAAACGAGATTTTAGAGTTCGTTCTAATTCAGTTTTTTGAAAGAATTATGCCCATTCCAAGGATTCCAACTACTCGACGTACAAGGAGATGTACGAATACATGATCGAGAACGCGGCGGACGTACTTCCTCCGGACAATGACGCCGGATTGACGAAGGTGCTCAGAGAGGATTACGCGTTTTTGATGGAGTCGAGCTCGATAGAGTACATCGTTGAACGATACTGCAACGTGACGCAGATCGGTGGACTTCTCGATGCCAAGGGTTATGGAATTGCTATGAAGAAACGTAAGAAGTTCCTTCCACAGAACAACTGTCATTTGATTTTCATTCCGTTGAAAATTAAAAATTAAAAAATTCTAGACTCGCCGTATCGCCACTCGTTGAACACTGCCGTATTGAAGCTGCAGCAAAGCGGTCTGATCACGGAACTGAAGAAGAAATGGTGGACGCAGAAACGCGGGGGTGGAACGTGTCGAGTACGTATAGATAGAAGTTCTCGATGAAACTCGGTAAGAAGAGAGGAGTTGAAACTGTGTATAGATTTTCTATAATGATGCACGTAGGAGGACGGTAGTCAGAGCCAAGCGGAGGAACTGGATCTCGATAATGTGGGTGGTGTGTTCCTAGTATTGACCGTAGGCGTTGCCGCCTCCTTCTTTTACACTATATGCGAATTACTGTGGGACGTTGGATGCACATCTCTACGTGAAAACGTGGGTGCAATCGTTCCACGATAACTGCATACGATGATGCTAATTTTACGAATTGAATGAATACACATTTGCAAAAATACTTTGCAGGTTTCCTTCAAGGAGGAATTGATGGCCGAGGTGAAGTTCATTATAAAATGTGACAATTCGCCTAAACCTGTAAGAAGGAGGAAAGGATCGTCGAATCGAAGCGGGGAGGACAGTACAAGGGGTTGCACGCCACCGTATGGATTTATACCAGTAATTAGAACGTCTGATTCCGATGACAAATAAATTAAAAACGGTATACTTATCAGAGGAGAAATCAATTTATAAAAAAATTTTCAATTAAAATCAACTTATTCAAATCTTCAAATCTCCTTTCCTCCAATTAGGTCTTAAAACGTGCAACACTTTTTCTCCATATTATACGTTTAATTGATCAGCTCGTTGTTTTCGTTGGATAAAATCAAGACGTTCTGAAAGTACGTAGTCATTGTTACTCTCTCGCAAATTAGTAACATTGAATCATGACGTCGATGACACATCTCGTAATACGGGATTGTTAACGGGATTTCCGAATAATCACAAATAGAGACACGATATAGTAATCGATTATCCGTGGAATTATCGGAATCCGATATGCAAATTACTCTGAGTAATATCACTTCATTAAACTGGCGCTCCAAAGACAAGTGGCATGAGTGATAATGGGCGATGCACATTAAACTCGCGACCGTTTCGAATCAAGCGCTGAAAACATTGTTTTGTTGTTTGGCGGACGGCTGTAAAAGGAAATTCACGATTGCCTCGATATTCTGGTTTTTCCGGTTTCCGCCTCGTGTCTGCCTATCCGCATTATACAATTATAGATTGAAATAAATCGTGAAAACACGTGAAACTTTAGATTGAATATTTCTATTCTCGTCGAGAAGTTCTTTCTTCCTTTCGTTTTCTTTGAAACGTTCATAACGTGCGCCTCTTCTTCGATCCATCGCCATCTATTTTCGCCGATGACAAGGCATCCGACGAATTTAATAATTGGCGGCACGAGGGACACGAGTAGAGTGCTGCTATCTCCTACACGGTGCAGAAGCGTCTGCAACTTTGATCGGTAAGGTAGTGTCCGAATCTGGTTCTCAATCGACCACGATACGATTCGGCTCTCCAACACCACAGTTGTTGAACGCTACTCGAACGATAATCGGAATTGAAAAGCATCGATCAACCGATGAATTATTCATTACGTGGGAAGTACGTCCGATCGCCGATGGTATAACGATTTCACCGCAGGAGATGCAAACCTGAGATAGATTTTGCCATTTTATTCGTGTCTTTGTAAATAAATTTTTACCACTCGTTTATCAATCCCGTGACACATTTCTCCTGTCATTGATCGAATTACGGCTCCCCCGAGTCGGTTCGAAGAAATCCAAGGAAAGATATAATGGATCGTTGACGAGGGAAGAGCAAAAGTTACGATTCGCCTTCGAAGCAATATGCGATCAATATGATCACGTACAAAAATAATTGTTAAACGATAGATTGAAAAGTAGTAGGATCGAATTTAAAATACATTACAACTTGTAACAAGAAAAATAATCGAGTGAGCAAAGGTAGGAATTTAAATAGATCTCTCTATACTTTTCAGAGAGCTACGTTAAATTCGAATGTGAAACCAACGAAATCGAAATTCTCTTCAATGCTCGACGCGATTTCCAAGAATATCGACCAAGTTTAGTTGCAGTTGGAAAAAAGTTTTACGGTCCAATAACGGTGATTTTTTTCGTTCAAATCAAGAAGCACGCTTTCTTATAGTTTTTCTTTGACAAATATTTAAAATTCGTTCGATCGCCCATCGCATTCCCCGTGGTCTCAAGGTCTTTTTGCTTAATTGGAAGAATATGTTCGGCAGAACGAACGAATCCGTATGTTAAACAGCAGACGGTAGACGGTCCTCGAGGCACGGTATACAGTGAAAGACACTCGCTTCCTCGATGTCGGAAGTATCTTGAAGAAGCCAACCAGTAAGTTGACCAACTGGTGGCAAGCAAAACACATCTATCCATCGTCCGCTTTTACTGGAATTTCCACGAAGACAAAGGCCGACTCTCGATGCCTTTTTTCCCCCTTGATCATGAACGCTGTATAAATCTTGGCTTCGAATCAGCCTTTGGCATATAAATATCGCGTTAAAGATCTAAGAATTATAAAAAATATTTCCTGGTTTGATATTAGATGCTTTAAAAGATAAAAGAAAAATTTCGAACGAAATCGTGGCAAGATATGCACGTACGTATCGTAAGATTCTAAGCTTTAACTTGTCATTTTTGCATTTCTCTATAAAATAGTATGAAACTCGTTCAAATACTCGTTTAAATCTAAAAATAAAACGTGAAAATGAATCGTATTTTATTTTTGAAACAAACATAAATTTTCAGATATCTTCCGGATACACATCTTCAGATTCAGTTATGACTTTGAATGAGATTGTCAGTTCTTTATTTTTTTTTTTTTTTTTTTAAGCGTATAATCATATGCAAAATATGATTGCCTGGTAGATAGAATAAATTCGATTGCACGCTTAATACACAGAAGCTACATTTATAGGAACGAGATTTTAGTTCATCCGGTTAACTGAACTTCTAACCGAACAACTGAATCTATTTAGTATGCGGAATATTAAACCATTAAGAACCAAGCTATGAATAATAAATAGATTTCATATATATACAAAAGAAATAGAAGAAAATATTTCCACGATTTCGAAGAAGATCGCAGCGGTGTACAAGTATTTCATAAACCTGTTCTGCATACTTTCCAAACAACTCTTTCCCAAAAATCACCTGGCCTCACGTTAAAATATCTCTGTTCCAAAAAAGACATTCCTTCGCCGTTACAACGATCGTAACAAGAAACACGAAAATAACCTGGCACATTCCACGCGAGACAACCGAGAACACGAGAAAAGAAGAGAAATCTATATCATACATCGGATTCAATAAAAATCAAACCGTGTCGATTCGTCGAACGGTCCCTTCGGCTCGTATTCCTGCTTTTTTCCCGTCCTCAATTTCATCACCGAAACGAGGAGAACGTAACAAACAAACGTCAAGGAGAACGAAGTCGAACGCAGTGTTTCAGCATAATCGGGGAATAAAAATCACGTAAAATAAGGAAGATTGTATCGATACGTCCAATTTTATCCCTTCGATCTCCCTTAAATGTCCCCGATCCCGGCACCAAAACTCTCGTTTAATGCCTCTTACGTTTACGAGGATCCGGATCGATGACACAGACGGTCAGGAATCCGAAGAGGGTTGGCGAGAGTGGTGTCGGCACGACTTTCCGTGTCGAGCATGGTCGGCCCACCTTTATAGACGCACCTTCGAGGCGCCTATTCAAAGCTACCACCACCTTGCGGGTGGGGATACGTGCCGCTCGTGAGGTAGTATTAAAAGGCCATTAAACCGGGCCGACATGACATATGGCTTTGCGCGTATGCGCGCGACCCTTGGCGATTCTGCTTTGCCGGCAACGAAACTGCTGCTCGCCTCTCTGCCACCACCACCACCACCACTTACCGCCTCGTACAATAAAACCAGATGGAACGACCAGCTGCCAGACCACCCTTCTTTTTCTTTCTCTCTGCGCGCTTTCCATCTCTGCCCAAGTCTCGCCTCGACCTTAAGTCTCGCGAGTATTAAAATTCGCGGGCGGCCCGCTTCAACTTGGTCACCGATCGAAAAAAAAGAAAGAAACGGATCGATACCTATCGTTTGCGCCCGATGAGTCACGGAACACTCGAGCCGGCCGGGTTAATGGCTCCAGGCGCCGAGATGATCCTCTCCTTCTCCCCGGTTAATCGATATCGGATAACTGGACACTGGATGTTCGGAGGCTCATACGAGAGCCTGTTTTGGTTGGTCCAATTAGTGGGACGGATTTAACCTTCGCGAAGGCAGTAGTCAGGTTCTCTTTTTATTCGTTTTTCGACGTGGACGCTTGCTGCCTCACCTGTTCAATGTCGTTCGCGTCAATGTCGTTCGAGGCGAGATATCCGACGCCTTCTTTCTTTCTTTTTTTCTCGGCGAACGAATTTAAATTTAAATTCCTGCCAGAGAGGGCAGGCTTTTCGATTCGAATTCTAACCCTTATTGCACTCGTATTTATATTTAAGAAGATTATCCAGATAACAAAAGTATGAATGTAATTACGTATGTACTATACGCGAGTTGAAAGGGTTAAAATTCTTCTTATCTATCGCTGAATTTTATTTTCCTCTTCCAAGAATCTCGGTATTTCATCCTGTGTGGAACCCGAGTACAACAGGTGTTTCACGATCAACCATGCTCTTGCCCGCGAGAATTATAATTCTTGGAAAGAGATAGGCTCTGTTCGAACTGGCTAGCCGGTCAGGCATACTTCGCCACGGTTCAACGAGCGCACACCCATCTGTTCTAATTTCTCATCACTCTCGTCTTCGTTACTTATCTCGTGAGATATATCCTCGTCAAAATTCCTCTCGAAAAATCCCTAAACGAATTCCCGTTGGAAAAATAAAAGGGAGCAGGGATTAAGATATGGGATGGGTCGGGGAAAATTAGGGAAGAAGATTTACTTAGATTCAGATCCTTGTGACGCGAGTCCCCCCCCCCCCCACGATCCCGGACGAGTAATCCGGAATCTCTACGAAAGCTGCACAGACCTCTGGTATTCGTGAAACGCGCGCGTCTGTTTTTAGTAACCAAGGTTTCTCGTTTGCATCGAGGACACCGGAGATATATCCAGATTATCCGGTTCTTTATTGTCCGCTTATTTTAGATCATTCCGTGTCATGTTTCCATGGAATAGCAGCTAGGGTCGTTCCTTGAAAACTCATCGCGTTAACCGCACGAATTTCATAGGTTGTATTATACTCGTGGTCCCGATTCGACCGAAAGAGAATCTCGAAACTTCTTCGTGATTATGATTGGATAGAAAACGCGAGTTCGAGGAGAGAGAGAGAGAGAGAGAGAGAGAGAGAGAGAGAGAGAGAGCGCGACGCCGAC